GGCAGGCAGAGTACAGACTGAGGTACTTGCTCAATGCTGTTTGGCTGTGCAGGTCACGGATAATGATATACAGGATGTTGGGTTACAGCAGGATCTCGATATTAAATGGCACACCATGGACAGACGGCCAATGGGATATGTGCGTACATTGATTCGAGGTTCCAGACCATCATTGTCAAGGGAGGACGATCTTGCTGTGCCGCTTCGCTTGTGGTTTTCTATCGCTGACTTGAGTCTAGACCTTTTTTTTCGAGGTCGGGTTTATGGTTTACGGGTGCAAGTGAAGGATTCTGTTGATTACTGTGTGTTACACAAGCGCTTGGGGATGTCAAGCGAGTGAGAGCGAAGGAGTAGATGACTTTGTCAGCAATTGATCCCTGGGTTCGATTTTGTCCGTCCAGTAATAGTGCGGCCGTTCAAGTTCACTGGTCTTTTCAAGGTATTCATATTCCCTTCTTACCATCCTCCTGGATAAGACCGTTGAATTAAGTCCCATTCCGTGTCATTTTCGCGTTCCAGGCTTTTGTTTTCCCGGCGGGCGCGGGAGAATTACGGCAGTGGGCTAGCGGCTGATTGAATATGCGCTGAGTGGGGGTGTTTCTTCATCTTGGGTTTTGGTCTCCATGGATCGTGACATTCCGGCAGGGCGCCAGCATCACTTCGGTTCGAATGGGGCCGAGGCTAGTGATGCTTGGTTGAGGCCGGGGCATTTGATGACGTTGGCGGGGATTGTGTACGTGCCAACGTGAGCGGACAGGTATATTCTCGGCAGTGGCAGTTCTTGGGGTTCTAGGGGGTTCTATCACAGACACATGACATTTTTGGAGTGGCTGTCTTGTTCACGATATTTGGTTTGATGATGGATCAAAGTGAGGCTGTTGTTCTCTTCCGAGTCATGTGCTTAGGCTCGTGATGGGGGGGACTTTGTCTTGTGAGACGGTGGTGATGGAAAGGTGTGAATGGGTATCGTAATGGAGGTTGAATGGGTGAGCGATGACGGATGGTCTAGGAACGAGTCGAGGTCTCGTGATAGAGGCCGATGATGGCGGAGCTTTGAAGGAGGTGGGGGGGAGTAAGGTAAGGTAGCTAGGCCACCGTCTTGACCCGGAGAGATATGCGACGACGACGATGACGAACCAATGGGTAGGCGACGATGGTCCCAAGTGATCGGAGCGAAAGGGCGAGGGACCAAAGCAAGGGCGGTGAGCTTAACGCAGGTTCCAGTATTCCGTACGCTGTGAAATGATGTGTGTGAGACTATGTGTGTGTGTGTGTGTGTGTGTGTGTGTGTGTGAGTGTGTGTGATGCCGGATTCCGGGACTAGTATCACGCAAGTCAGGCACGTAATGTAGGTACGGTGCGGCGGAATGCTCCAAGGTGGGAACACTTTTTTTCATCTTCTTCTCCATTGAGGTGAGGTGAGAGAAGGTGTGTGTAGGTGTACGTAGGTATGAGTGGGTGAAAGGAGTGTGATGAGTGAGTGAGTGAGTGGTCTTGGTTCGGGGCTGGGGCTGGGCAAAGGTGAGCATGATCGGGTTAGGATACGGGGTGTTCGAGGCGAACCTGACCGATGAGTGGTGGTGGTGGTGATTATGCGGCGGCTGAAGCGCACTTGACGCCGCGGCCGCGTGAGCGATGATGGTAGCGCGTATTCCGTAGAGGGGGGTCTTGTGCTAGTGTGATGAGATGGATTAGATTGTGCGTGATTGTGTGAGATGACGTGAGGCGCGGGGCACTTTGAGTCGTGTTTGTGAAGTGCGTTCCATTGTGTTCCTGCTTAGGCACCCAAGTAAGTCAGGCGAGTAAAGTACCTACCTCTCAGGTTATCTGGCTGGGTGTTGTTCGGGCAGATTTGCCCAGTCATCACGATGTTCTTAGTGGATGGGCTAAGGTGCAAGTGGTGGTTTTCCCTTGGTGCTGTGTAAGTAGATAAGATTACTTTAGTAGGTTCTCTCGGTGATAGGTGGGATAGGAAAGGACTGGTGTGGTTGGTCTATGTCTGTCTGTAACTAGCTGCGGGATGTTATAGATGCGAGATAGGGTAGTCTCGGTTTATCGTATAGTACGACACAGACTGTACCGGCATTCCTATACCATAAGGTAGGTGGGTAGGTAGACTTATTGGAGGGGCTGGAAAAGCGGAAAGGCAACTCGAGCAAATGATACACTGCGATTTGAAATACGTGTCGCAAAGTGTTGCCATTCAGGAGGGGGGGACAATAGAACCAGTTCTCGGGATGTGATGGGCCTGTCGGGGTATGATTGCAGAGTCTCATTTCGGGATCTGGTCCTCGACGATACCACCACGTTGTGTGGCCTGCCTGCCATGCACCCGCGGCACACTCGCCTGACTCTTTCGGCCGGCTCTGCAGGTTTGCCGCGATTTTTGGAAGGTGTTGCTTCTCCCTGGGCGAGGGGGGAAGACTCGGCCGGGTGTGGGGAAAAAAGGACAAATGTCGGCGATGCCGGTGTTGTTCGGGGTGGAGTCCGGGTCCCCGGTCTTTCTCCCTCTTCCTGTCTCGGCGGTCCGGGGGGATGGAAGGTGGGGGTCGTTTTTCTTCTCTCCTCTCCCACGAGTCTGGATGTGACCATCCGATGCTGGAGACTGACTCTCATCCTTGTTCGAGCGCTGCCACCTACCGCGATGAAATATCGGAAAGGTTATATTGACGGCGGTGTTATCGTCGCTGATTCTGTGGAATGGGGGTTTCGATTTTTTCCATCCAGCGCTCTTTCCGAGAAGAGTCAATGTCGTGCATGAGTGCATGGTGGCTTTCTAGGTGGGCCGATGATCGCTCTGCTTGTTTCTTAATCATGATTTTGGGGGCGAGGGAAGTGCCATTGACGCCGATCGTCGAGATAGCGGCTTCGTGGGAGAGAGACTGTGAGGGTAGCATCGGAGTAAACTCCGACTTTTTCGTCTGCCCGCCCTTCGCAGATTCCCGATGCCGTCATGGGGTTGAAGCAAAGATCCTCATGACTCTGCGGATGTCTCTTAGTCTCGAGTCAGCGATGGTGTGTTGCTGGTTTGCACGCGGCCAGAAGTTTCCGCGGCACGGTAAAGTTGGACATCATTGGGTACTTACCTCTCCATTGTCGTGTACTAGTGAGCAGCTGAGTATCGGTCGATGAGCGCGCATTCACTCGCTCGGCTTGCTCATCGTTTTTTCTTTTTCTCTGATTCAATCTTCCATACACTGCCCTGCTCAGTACTCAATGCATACGGACAATGGTAGGACAGCATGCTAATTGTGGTCGCACACACAAAGTTCGCGATGGATATGATGACTCTTCGAATCGTACAAATCCCATCAAACCTGTAAACGACTGACAAAGTCATGCTCTGAGAGGTCGTCATGCTACATCTATTTCCTGCTAGCAGGTAATTCCCACGACCGCTACCGATGATAGACAAGTCCAATCCAATCAAAATTTGCCAATCTGAGAGGAACCGTCCTATCAATGAGCCTCTCAGCCTAGTCTCGAAGGTGTTGACATGTGTCAAGCTCGCCATAGGCCTCAAGTGAGAAGGTTACCATCTTTTCCTTTGAAGGAGTGTCTAGCAGTTAAAAGCGTACTAGCTGCTTGGGAGTTAACTCCTCGAACTCGTGCGCTCAGCGCCAGATCATGAAAGGGGGAAGTAAGAGGATGAGAGTCCGAATCATCTCCTGTGACGCGATGGTTAATGGATTTCTCGGGCTGCTTCGCGCAGTATTAATTCTCGGAACCCCTTCGATAGGTCAGCTCCAGAACCTATAACAAGTTTCAACAGCCACTCATTCAGACTACTGCTGTTTCGTTCGTGTACTTTGATTGTTTCTAATGCGTCGATGTTTTATGCGAATGCTTTGGCTCATCTCTCTTGTGTCAAAGGGACGAGTTGCGTGTGCGTGCGCGTAGAGGGGCTTGCGAAATTTTCTCTATCGCGCTCTATTCTGCTCTATTCTGTTTTGATTCCTTCGTGCAGTATTCCAGGGCTGAACAATCACCTAGCAGTGTAAGATCACGAGGTAATAAATGCATGTGTAGACGAAGTTGGAACTGTTTACATGATGCACTTGTCAGAGATCTCTTAGAGGCTAACATCGCACCGGGAGAAGCCCAATAACTGGCAATCGTTTAGGTTCCTGTGTCCGAGTCTGACATTTGGAGTTATCCCATACGATTGAATACTCGTGCTTCAGGCAGACGGCCGGTGCTTGAGGCGCTGGCCACGTCAAGAGGTAGATCCCTCTCCTGTATAAACTACTCAGTATGAAGAGAATCGTCTACTGAAGCCAGTTTCCACCTGAAATCACCCAAATTGGGATAATATGGATGCGGCAAGTCACACCAATCATCATTGGTTGAAACCGTCTGAACTTAAGCTATTACCGAATTATTTATCTGCTTTGCGATCATACTATATGCTCATGGCTCGAGATCCGTGATTCCAATCATAATTCTCGCAGGCTTGTAAGTCTGCACTGATCTTGAAACTAAGCGATATTGTCGGTACTCGGCGGCAACGTCAAGTTTCACTTGTGCATGGCCAGTAGGCAGCGTACAGCCGTGTGTTGCATAAGACTCACCGCCGTAATCATAAGGAATTCCAATTCATCAGCAATGGCTCAGCGGTGTGGCTTACACGTTGTTTGTTACGAGGTGTTACTCAGTAACTCCCGTAAGTTGCTTTTGAACGATGCTACGGTCAGGCTACTTGCATGGAATTACTTCATTCTACATCCCTTGACGCCTTCCATGGTAAATAAAGCACTGATGCTGCCCATATAGAGTTGCACATGTGCAGGAAACTTCGAGCTCACGTCCATTAGTTGTTTGTTGCGGGCCATAGTTCGATCTCTACATGCAACAGATAAATTTGCAAGCTTCAAGAAACCAGTACACACTCAAATTACTGCATCAATGAATAAGTAAGCCTTGTTTCTTCTCAGGCTATCCCATTAGCTGTTAATTCATGGTATCTCTTAACCAGCTCTTGCGTTGGCTCCTTTCTCAATATGTCTGGCCAAACTGCAGAAGTGGTTCAGCCGAAGAGTCAACAAGATTTCCACCAGCAAGAGTCTACATGCCCAAGGTCTGACAATACTGTTGAGGCTCTCCAGAACCAACCTCCAGTGCCTGATGTTTCCAGTCAGGATACATCAACGCAACTGTTTCATCTCCACGAGAGCCACCCCCATCAGACAGATGTTTTGCCATCTCCTTCTACCATTTCTGCCAATACCCTGCTTCAACGACACACAGGCTCCTCCGTTTGCTCGGCAGGGGGTCTTGGAATCGACCAAGAGCCTGCAGCTGCAAGCATACCTGCTTCTCACACACGTCTAGAGCCAGCGGTCGACGACGGCCCCATACTCAGTCAGGGGTGTCTCATATCTGCGGAACAACCCTCACCCGGATGCGCTGAATCGAAAAGCGAATCTCAGACCTCTACTGCACCGAGAGTATATGACCCATTCTGGAGGGTCTGGTGGAAAGAGATGCTCTGCATCGTGGTCAGCATCGCTTCATTCGTCGGTAAGCAAGCGCGAGAGGGGATCAGGCAGGCGAACTTCACCTTGTAGATCTTTGACTAATGCCTTCTATGGAGCACTTCAGCAATCGTCGTAGTTATTGCCTCTTATGATGGTCATTCGCTCCCCAAGTGGCCTCTCACAATCACGCTCAACACATTCCTCGCATTTTTCACGACGCTGGCGAAAGTGGCCTTCATGCTATCAACGTCAAGTGCCTTGAGTCAGTTCAAGTTCACCTGGTTTATGGAGCCAAGACCTCTATATGACTTTTATGTCTTTGACCAAGCAAGTAGAGGTTTGTTGGGCTCCATGAAAATGTTATACCGGGTGCGACTCAAGCACACAGTCACTATTGGCGCCATCTTGATGGTTATCAGCGTTCTTTCCTCCCCAGTAACTCAATTGGCCATCAGTTATTCTACACGCAATGCCACCGCTGCTGGAGGACAGGCTAAGATATTCACTATCAACGAAATCAACCTGGACAAGTACAAGTTGGGTCATGTGGTAGAACTTGCGGCGTTCAAGGCTACGGTACCGGATACGGGGAACTTCGACGTCCCAGTGCCTCCACAGAAAGCATCGTGCTCTACTGGGAATTGTGATTTCAATCCCTATCAGTCGCTAGGTGTTTGTGTTGCCTTTGCTAACGTAACTTCGAAACTTCGGACTGGGGTGTTGACGAACGTGACGGTGGATGTAGTTGGGGGCGGTATCGGCAGGCTGGCCACCGGCCTGAACACATGGAAGGCTAGTCTCTCAGACAAATACTTCTTTCTTCATCAGAATCCACTGGCCGTTAAAGGCGAAGTATTGGACGGGGTTGATACCTTCGGCTTCTCAAACAACACCGATCTTCTCAGTACTAGAATCGCCTCGTTCTTCCTCATCTACACTTCTCCGCTACCACCAAATGGAACTAGCGTCGACTTGAGTGACTCAGATGATGCTCAAAGTATGATCCGCTCAATCTCAGACTTCACATACGAGGCACGCGAAGTCATGTTCCATATCTGCGTTCAGAAATTCGAGACAAAAGTTCGCACGGGGGTGGAAGAGACCTTTATAACCGATACTTCACTGAAACCAGATGACACAAGCAAAGGAATCGTCTTGAGGCCCAATTGTACACCATTGGAACAAGAGTCTGAAACTTGCGACCTGCCGAAAGAACAGGGCGACTTACTTCTCCAAATCACAACTCCGAATACTGGAACGAAGAAATTTAGCGTCTCGTACGCGTCCATGCAGAGCATAGCAAGGGGTCTATCTTACTTACTTGAAGGGGAAGGAGAATTACCGATTAAACGATTTGGGCTCGTTTGGATTGGTAACTTTGCACGGACCTGGTTCCGAGATGTACTCTACACCAACCAGGATATCTTCAATTCTACGCGGCGAGCGACTCATCTCGATAACTTCTTCCTAGACATTGCTACCCGAATCTCATCTGAGTAAGTTCCTAGTCTATATTCGTACTACGTTACTGATTGAAATTGACAGTCTACGAACGGCCCATCACCAAGCCAAGAGATCAGGTGCGGTCATTATCGAGGGAACCCCCTTGGAAAAGATTTCGTACGTTCACATCAAGTGGGGATGGGTTTCTTTCCTTGCCGTCGAGGTTGTAGCGGCGACACTGTTCCTCATCATGGTCATTACCACCCAGAGTGTGACGTCTCGGCAACAGGGAACGAAAGATGTCTACGTCCCAGCCGATGTCAAGGACTCGGCTCTGGCAAATCTTGTTGTTCTCAGCAACGATTGCCGCGAAGCCTTGAGCGATGGTCTACAGCCGGCAGATGATCTCCAGAAGACTTCAAAGAAACTACAAGTCACACTACGGGGGAACGAGATTGTGATTGCCGCGGACTTGGGAGTACAATCTTCTCATCCAAGCAAAGAAAATCCTCGAGAGGCAGACACAGAAGAGCACAGTCTTCCCAGGAACCGTCCCTTTGATCGTATTCTCACGAGTATACGGGCGTGGTGAGGAGGGCAAGATACATCGAGAACGGTGGGAAGAAGGATAGAGGAAGTGTCAGCTAAGGTAATGGCAATGAAGATAGGACTGGTTCTGACGAGCTGTCCAACTAGATGTCCGTAGCGTTGTAGTCTTGTCATAAATGTGCAGGCAGGGCTGTCTGATTGCAGGCCCTCTTGGGGTATGGAAGGCGGGCTTACTCACACGACAGCAATGTCGGAGTGATCTTTGAGTAGATCCACATTCGCTTCTTATCGCTGAACGACCTTATTGAATAATATCAATTGGGTATTTGCAATCATCTATGCATGTATCTTAGACCCGCTGTTTCGCCTAGTGCCCATATGCAATGCTTCAGCTCCCGATGCCCCTTGGTATGCAATGCGCCGTAAATCCAAACCAAGCTCGTACTCAACACTCTTCAAGATCACCGCAGTTTTCTCGGTGATCGTCGCAGACCCAGCTCCTGCAACTCCTCTCTGGAAAGAATGATGCTCTCCTCTCTGTCCTCTTCAATATCCCCCATCAGCTGTGACTCGGCTATCCAGCCGGCTTCAACCGCGAACCTCACAACCTCGGCAGAAGTCCCAAATGCCGGCGTTCCAGCCTTGGCATCGGGATCGAGGTATTTCCACAGCTCTTTCGTGACCTTTTTGAATGCTGCGAGGTCCTTTTTATCGCCCTGGAACCCCTTGATCATGTACTGGTAGAGGTATGCCAGCCACAAGACGTTGGTGTACGGCACAAAGACGTCCCATGACAGAGGTTCGCCATCTACCCCTTTGCAGTAAGGTGATTTGTGGGCGGACGGTGGCAGATGCCCACGCTCGCCACGTATAAGAAAGGATCGCATTTGGCGGTAAACCTTGCATTGTGGGGCGTGGGTGCTGGTGAAGATGCTGAGGTCCTTCTCGAGGTCGAGCGCAATAGGCTGAGATTCCTCTAATTCGAGGTCCTCGGCACGGGAGAGGCCATAGTCCAGAATCGTAATGTCAAGGCCAGAGTAGCCAAAGTACGGCCCTGGTGTCTTCGGATTCCGCGTTTGTGGGTCTTCTGATCTCCGTATGCAAAGGTTGCCCTCATGCAGATCGCGGTGCTGATCTTGTTAGCTCACGCCGTCCTACCAGTCGCTTTAATGGCGTGTTAACATACCTCAAAGCAGGCCAGATCTTCCGCCCTAGCCAGTGCAATGGCTACATGGAAGAAGATATCCCACAGCTGACTGGAGTCCGTAAGTTCGAAGTCCTCGAGCGCGGTTCCTGCATCACCAAGCTCTACCACTAGGAAAGTGGTCTCGTCAAGATAGCGACTTGGGCTTGGGTAGAACTGCAGCCTATCCGGGTCCTTGCGCTTCATCTTCCGATGAAAGCTTTGGTGTGTTTCAAGCAAGCACTTTGGTGCTTTTCCTTTTACAAGGTAGCGCTCCTTGTAAATGACGAAACCGGGAATGTCGGCAAGCCACTCGGATATGCTCAGTTCACCACGCATATCGTCTTCTGAGTGCGGTTCTTCGTCGACGAGTCCAGAGCGCTCCTGGGTCTTTGTTTGCGCCTTGATGGGCGACTCGAGACGGATGCACTTGATTATGCTTGTGCCACGCTCATTTCGAACGCGGTAAACTTCTGCATAGGAAGCTTCAGCGATCTTTTCGATTGTGTCTCCGGGTGGGCATACATCCTCCCAGGTAAGAATGCGATAGTCAGGCTGTGGCTCTACTGGCACTTCGGGGACTTTGATTTTGGGCGTTTCAGCCTTTGATACGGGTGTAGGAAGTGACCCCTTGGCTATCCGTCTCGTGGTTTTCGCGGTCCTTGGGGTTTGTTTCACCGCCCTTGGGGGAGTTTCCGGTTTTTGTGGTGTTGGTGGAGATGCCACAACAACTTCGCTGAAGTCTTTTGATAGCTCATCTTCCGAGGAATAGGAATCCAAATTGATCCCAAGGGCGTCCAGGTCCTCGGTAATTTTGATGATAGAGTCATCTTCGGAGTCCAGCGTGACTGTCGCATTGGGTTTCCGAATCGGGGTTTGTGGAAGTTCAGCAAACAGTCGCCTTGCTTTTGCCTTTGTTGAGGTCTTGCCGTAGGTACGAGCTGCTGTTGTTCGCACCATTTTGTCTTCTTCTTCTTGAGTCCATACGGGGTTGATTTGTTGAGTTGAGTGCTCCTGCTTTTGACGCTTTATTGCATGATGTCGCCATGACTGACGTTGGCAACTATTGACATTCCAGGCGCGTCGTCCAGACAACCAGAGCTTGAACGGAAGATACGTTATCCCGGAGCCGCTGAAGGGCCCCTGGGCCGGGCACGAGACACTGAACCCACGCTGCTGGGTTCTACGACGGTCGACCGCATTCAGATGAATAAGTGGAGAAACGTCACTGTGCCCCAGCTTCCAGGAAAGCGATGTGACTGGCTGACGACAGCTTGACGACTGGCCTAATTTCGCCTTCTGGTTGGCGATACCTCCTCACAAGTCCGCAGCTTCACTGTCTGCAGTCTTGGATCTCGACACCACCGCAGCCAGCCAGCCATCCCTCCTCCGACCGCAACCATGGCCGCCATCCTCAACGGCCTCTTTGGAGGCTCCAAGCCCTCTGCATCCCCAATTCCTAGCGGTGATTCCGGTATGCTACTCTAGAGACTCAATTCCCCTGCCCCCTAAATCAACCCCCGTGCTGTCAAAGCTTCCAGTTTCCCCTCAGCACCCACAAAATCCACAACCTCATTAGACTGACGCAATCATCTCTCCCGTATAGACTTTGCAGACTTCGCCGGTGCTGCTGATCCGTCGCCGGTGCCCAGCGCCTTTACGGCTGCCCCTGGCGGTACAACGCTCGGTGGCGCGCCCGAGGCCACGGGACGTCCCTTCACGAAGTGGTACAACATCCACGAGCGTCACTCCCTCAGCGAGTTCAAGCTCGAGGGCGCCATTCTTGCCGTCAGCGCCGTCATTTTTCTCCTGCACATCATTGGCTCGCGCCTCAACCGCAAGAAGGCCAAGTCCTGGGCCACCGCCCACGCGCCGGTGCTCAAGTCCGAGTTCGCCTCCGTCGGCTTCTCCCCGCGTTCCACGACCGACACCGACCCCAAGGACCCTACGGGTCTGCTGCGCGAGAGGTCTCTCTTTGAGTTTGCCAGCTACGGAACCGGTCGCCAGAATGTTGCCTTCATGGACGTCAAGTTGACGCTGACCAAGCGCTTCAACCCGTTCCTCAGCATCATCGAGGCCGTTACCAGCTTCTTCATGGATACCGTTGAGGCCCCCCACGACTCTGTCGAAGCTGTCATCTACCCCTTTGACGGCAAGGAGAGCCTCACTGTTCCCGCGATCCCCGGCACCCACGAGCTGCGCAGCAAGGAAAACAAGAGCACGTACGATAACTTTGTCTGGGCCATCGTCTCCAAGGAGCGCATGAAGCAGGTTCGCGACGATCGCTACGATGTCTCCATCACCTTCACCAAGGACAATGCCAAGCTTCCCAACTGGGTTACTGTCATGAGCGAGAGCGCCGAGATCACCGAGCAGCTGTTGACCCCTGAGCTCATCAAGGCCATTGAGGCTGCCGGCGACGCGTTTGACTACCTTATCGTCTCTGACCAGCCCATTGAGCGCCCTAGCACGTGAGTTTCAACCGCAATCTGTGGTTCATGTTCATTACTAACAGTGTAACAGCATCGAGGAGACCACTCCCCGCAAGCGCGTCTTCCTCCGCTACCGCATCCCCTCAAGCAACAACTACGAATCTCTGTTGCCCCTCTTCGAATACTTTGTCCGCATCCCCGACGCCCTCGTCTCGGGTGCGCACTTCCGCCCCGAGGTCCTGCGCAAGGTCCGCAGCGTGCGCGAGGAGACCATCGCCCAGCTCAAGAAGGCTGCCGAGGCTGAGAAGGCCGAGGAGCGCACCCTCGAGCGCGAGAAGCAGAAGAAGGCTAAGCGCGACGCTGAGCTCAGCGCTCTGGACGCCAAGGCCCAGAAGAAGTACCTCGAGAGGGAGCGTGAGCGCGACCTCAAGAAGAGCATGAAGAAGCAGACCATGCGCGGTTAAAGCAGTGTTTGAATGCGTTCCTTAGTGGAAGCTCTTAAAAAGTTGCTACACTTCATCAATGTCTTTTAAACCTGGAGGGGAAAAAAGGCCGAGGGCGGTCTAGGGGGTTCAAGGAGGGGTCGGCGGTGTCAATATTACAATCTACGAAGGCTGAGATGTATACATGTACCATCATGAAAGGCGGCGGCGGCGGGGTAAATCAAATAGTATATCTCGTGTCAAATCATAACCTAATAAGCTGTCAACATTTCTGTCTCGTGTGTGCACCGCGATCCATCTCATACCACCAACACATCTTTTCAAAGACAAGGACATTTACTTGTCTTGCGCCAGGATGCCCTCCACCCGCGCCACCTTGTCGGCGGCAGACTGCTTCTTGTCCGTTCTGCGCAAAGGAGAATAACCATCATCAGTCACTCAAACATTTATCCATATAACGACTTTGCGTTCTTTGTCGTATGAAGTAGAAATTCATTTCAGGTAGACAAACCTCGAGCCGACGCGCATCGAAGACTGGATCCGCACGACGCCGCTCTGGTGGACGAGAGAGTGCGCTTGTCCGATGACGCGGAAGACGTCGTCCCAGCTTCCCTCTGCGGAGAAGGAACGGATATGTATGTCAGCAGTGTCCTATATGGTTCTTGATGTAGTTTGAAACCCCGTACCGAAGCAGGGGGGGTGAGGGGGTGGACGAATCTCATGAGCTTCCACGCTCTCGCGCAACGACGATGGTTCAAAAGCTCAGAGGGGAGTGCGAGGGGAGAGAATTAGGTAGATGAGAGTCGTAAAAAACGTACCGACGGTGGTGCCGGCCGAGTGCATGGTGTACTTTAGCCCGCTCGCCTTGAGCAGGCGCTGGACCTGGGCGACCTCGTTGGCGACGGAGACGCTGCCTGTGCCGACGGGGATGAGGCAGAAGTCTGCGTAGGCGGCTTCGGGGGTGGGGATGTTGGAGTAGTCTTCG